GGTGTGTGTGTAGGCGCTAGTGATGAAAGAAATTGGAAAATAGACGGACCTATGTGAATGTAAAGACGCTGGGGATGAAAGAAGTTGAAGAAATGATAACTTGCGTATTGTGAGTTATTAAACAAATCACATCTACTCGAGGTGATGAATGAAAAAGAAAATACTTACAGATTAAATAATATCGACTTAGTTATATTGAAAGGTAAATTAATATCCTGGGGTGATTATTATGAGCCTGTATGATAGTTGAAGCTTGTTGTCTTGACGAAGCTTTTGTCTTGGTTGAAGCTTGTTGTCTTGATGAAGCTTTTGTCTTGGTTGAAGCTTATCTTGAAGCTTTTGTCTTAGTTGAAGCTTGTTGTCTTGAAGCTTTTGTCTTAGTTGAAACTTGTTGTCTTGATGAAGCTTGTTGTCTTTAAGCTTTTGTCTTAGTTGAAGCTTGTCTTGATGAAGCTTTTGTCTTAGTTGAAACTTGTTGTCTTGATGAAGCTTGTTGTCTTTAAGCTTTTGTCTTGGTTGAAGCTTGTTGTCTTGATGAAGCTTTTGTCTTAGTTGAAGCTTGTTGTCTTGATGAAGCTTTTGTCTTGGTTGAAGCTTGTTGTCTTGATGAAGCTTTTGTCTTAGTTGAAGCTTGTTGTCTTGATGAAGCTTTTGTTTTAGTTGAAGCTTGTTGTCTTGATGAAGCTTTTGTCTTGGTTGAAGCTTGTTGTCTTGATGAAGCTTTTGTCTTAGTTGAAGCTTGTTGTCTTGATGATGCTTTTGTCTTAGTTGAAGCTTGTTGTCTTAGTTGAAGCTTGTTGTCTTGATGAAGCTTTTGTCTTGGTTGAAGCTTGTTGTCTTGATGAAGCTTTTGTCTTGGTTAAAGCTTGTTGTCTTGATGAAGCTTTTGTCTTAGTTGAAGCTTGTTGTCTTGATGAAGCTTTTGTCTTAGTTGAAGCTTGTTGTCTTGATGAAGCTTTTGTCTTGGTTGAAGCTTGTTGTCTTGATGAAGCTTTTGTCTTAGTTGAAGCTTGTTGTCTTGACGAAGCTTTTGTCTTAGTTGAAGCTTGTTGTCTTGATGAAACTTTTGTCTTAGTTGAAGCTTGGTGTCGTGATGAAGCTTTTGTCTTAGTTGAAGCTTGTTGTCTTGATGAAGCTTTTGTCTTAGTTGAAGCTTGTTGTCTTGATGAAGCTTTTGTCTTGGTTGAAGCTTGTTGTCTTGATGAAGCTTTTGTCTTAGTTGAAGCTTGGTGTCTTGATGAAACTTTTGTCTTAGTTGAAGCTTGGTGTCTTGATGAAGCTTTTGTCTTAGTTGAAGCTTGTTGTCTTGATGAAGCTTTTGTCTTAGTTGAAGCTTGTTGTCTTGATGAAGCTTTTTGTCTTGATGAAGCTTGTTGTCTTAGTTGAAACTTGTTGTCTTGATGAAGCTTGTTGTCTTGATGAAGCTTTTGTCTTAGTTGAAGCGTGTTGTCGTGACGAAGCTTTTGTCTTGGTTGAAGCTTGTTGTCTTGATGAAGCTTTTGTCTTGGTTGAAGGTTGTTATCTTGATTGGCGTGAGGTGATTGGTTGATGATTTATCTTCTTGGTAGTTATCTTGAAGACGATGGACGAATTACTTCACCTGTGTGTGAGTGTGTGTGTGACTGCAGGATGATATTAATACTCTTCTTTCTTCTATGTCACCAGGTATTTGCAACTTACCTGTACCTAATTAGTACAGGTAGAGGGGGCATCAGGACAATGATCACCTGTCTTATGTCTGTCTTAGGAACGTTTGTCTGGGTACGGGAGATTTTTTTTTTTAGATCACCTTAAGAATCTTCGCCCCAGCTTATTCCACCTAAAGATTAACCCCCCTAACCTAACCTAACCTCCGAAATGGTGGTTAGTCCATAGGTGAAATAAACTGGGGTGGAAATTCTTCAAGTGATCAGATTTTTATTTATTTTTTAACATATCCTTTAAATTCTTGTCAGACTCGGATCAACAGTTCTGGTAGTTCGCTGTTCAGTGTCTTCAGGTGGCAGTAATAACATTGTGATTTTTTGATTGATTTTTGTGGTTGGGGTGATATTCATCTTGTAAATAAACAGGTGGTGACAGGTGATTGATGGAGGTAACATTAATTACTAATCAGTAGAGGGACCTTTAATATGTGTATGGTTTCTTTTAGTGACAAAAAGTGATGGTAAAGACGTTACTCTCAACAGTTTAATTCTTCCTTTGTTGGTCGGGTCAGGTCAGGTCAGGTCAGGTCAACATTTAGGACCATTTGGAAATATAGGAGGTCAGGTACCGCCATCTTGTTTACGTCCCGGGTCACGACATGGCCGGCCGCCCACAGTGCCACAACACGGAGGAGGGCCTGGTGGCACTTATGGCACTCATCACCTGTATTCACTAACTCTTGGTATATTGATAAAATTCACAGTTTGCCTCAAAGTTCACCAGCGTATGTTACTGCGACCACAACAATACTTATCCGGAACCCAAATTTGCCGACAAAACATGAAATTTCAGACATGTAAACAATACCTTTAAAATATAGATCTCCAATCACCCCAAAACTCTGATTTTACTTGAATTTGACATAAGAAACAGACATAAGATGCTTTAAGTAAAATAAGCCAAGGGAAGAATTCGTAAGATCTTTTGAGGGAAGGAGTTGGGTTTTACCTGGTGATACTATTAAGACAACTTTCCCCCAATGAGACATTCTATTCTTCAGGTAGACATTTATTTTGTTAACCTCACCAATACAACCAGAAGACACCGACAACAAGATTATTTTCACCAATCGTTGTTTCCTTATTATGTATTACCATTACCTAAACTTCGATACTATTGGGCAAAATACAATAATAAGTCACTTTGTTCACATCTGGTCAATGATTCCTTACTCTGGTGGATGTGAAACAAAAACATTCACAACAAACTATCAAAGAACGTTTTATTGAGTACGTTTGTATGTTTGTTTGTGTATCAGTGTGTGTTTGATTTTTGTTTTTCAATATGGCTGCCATGAGTTATTTCAGATATTTAACATGAGTAAAATACGTGATGTCAGTCGTTAATTATCAGTTAGGAAGTTAAGAGCGTTTAGACCTTCTGTTAACTGTATGAGGATATTTAATCAACATTGACAAGAGAAATGGAAGGAAGTGTGGAAGAAATTGGTGGATAATTTTAGGTGAGTGGAAGAGATATTTGAAAATTTTATCAGAAATATAATAAAAATAAATGGTAGATTATAGGTGTGTGTGTGTGTGTAATCATAATAATAATAATAATAATAATAATAATAATAATAATAATTAACGGTTTATTGAAAGAGCTTGGCAGCCAGAAGGCTGAATATATACAGTTACATATTTGGGGAATGGGTTTCGAATTACAAATAATATACAAGTATCATAAGTGATAATTTTTAACAATGGTGACAGTGGGAGTGAATACTGGGATAATGGTTCTTATAGCGATCAGTTCGTGCACGTATGGGCTGGATGCGGTTGTGGTGTCGAATAGCAATTCTCGGGGGCTAGGGATCTCAGGTGGTAGTAAGAGCCGGTGTCGAGGATGGTGTAGAAGCTTCTTACCAAATTTGCAGATGAGGTCGTGGTGATGGTCAGTGAGAGTCAAAAGGGTCAATGTGTTGAGCGCTTCTTGATATGTGGAGTAGGAAGGGGAGAATAATCTTTGCATGCCTCTTTTGCACTTTTTTCAGGTCTTTACGCTATGTGGCATTTAGGAGTGAAGACCAGGTGGGGAGGCATAGGTGAGCTTGGGAAGTATGAATGTTGTGTAAACACTGGAGGAGTCTCAGGTGCAGGAACTCCGAGGACTGAGCCAGCTAGAGGTGGAGACGAAAACTGGAGGATTTGACAACTTCACTGACGTGTGGTTTCCAATTTAGTTTGTTGTCTATGGTGACGCCGAGGAGCTTCGTGGAATCTACAACCTGGAGTGTGTTCGGACCTAGAGTAATGGAAGGAGGTGGGACAATGTCGGAGGAGAGGTTGATGTGCAGAGAAACGTGTAACGGCCAACGGTTCTTTAGGAGAATTTGAACACAGGTGGATGTATAATGTGTTAGCTCTCTGGCCGCCTGGGAAACACAACAGTTTAGTGTCCACCCTGGGGAAACACCAGAAGTCATATTGTTATGTGTTTCTGGTGCTACCTGTATTTACTTTATATCTTGATATTCTTGATAACCATAGCCAGTGTGTACATCAATAGGTCTGGATTTAAAAGGATTTACTGTACAGTATTTTATTCACTATACTTTGTTCACATAATCCTTATGACCAGAGCCTAGAGCAAATTTTATTAATGAAGCTGATTGGTTAGTGGAATGAAGTGCATTGGGTTAAGCTAGAGCTCTTCAGTATTTAATATATTTTCTTTATATTCTGCAATTACAAGTACAATACATTAATATTAATAATTTAATGTTGATCTAGAATAATATCTGAAGCTGGGGAGGTAAATATCAGCATGTGAAATATTTTGATAATGTGGATAACTTAAAGTGAAAAAGAAAAGGTTAAAAACTATCAGTGGTGTTTGCTGTTATTTCACCACCCTGATACATATACTACAACCAGAGTGACTCAACCAATCACAAGTTTTCTTTGATTTGGCCTTCTTGAAAGCTTGGAGTGAACAAAGAATAGTTTTTAGTGCATCTACAGTACACTTGGTATATCTTTATGTGTCCATCCGTCTCTTACATTGTGTTTTAAAAGTCTCAACCTCCCCTTATGGTATGTTCTAATAGTTCCTTCCTCTTCACTACATGCCTCTATCACCACTTTCCTCCATATTTATTGTGTTCTAACAGTTTCAGTTTTTAGAAGTGGTCTTTTATCAGTTTTTTACTCCTCACCCACTATATTTAATAGTCCCTTCTTCCTCCCAAATTTTTTTTCAGCAATGTCTCTCCCTCCACAGTCACATACCCAAACTAGCTTAATTTCCTTCTCACTTAGTACTGACTAACAGTTCCTCCCTCCCCTCAGTATGGTCTGTACTCCGCCTTCATGGGGTGCTTCGTGTACATGATTTTCGGCAGCTGTAAGGACATCACCATTGGACCCACAGCTATTATGGCCATCATGACTCACGAGTACTCAGGCAGCGGTGGCCCTGAAAATGCTGTGTTGTTGTGTTTCCTCAGTGGTCTCATAATTTTCGCCTCAGGATTGTGTAACTTGGGTATGGAACTTTAAACTGATGTTTCTTAACTGGATACTTTAGATATAATTGTGGGTAATTAATGAATATAGTATAGTAAACATATATTTTTTACCTGAGTTTTTTAGTTATTGTAGTTATTGCATTGAACAGTCTGGAACACCCCTTCTCCCTCGAAGCACAGAATAATCTTACTGACTCAAACTATATAGGGTAGAGACTTCTTTGAGAATGTAAGAAGTTCACCTCAGTAGGAAACCACTCCAATACATTCTAAGTACCTTGTTCAATCACTTTATTAAACTAACAGTCACCTTCCATGTACCTTGTTTAGTCACCTTATGAAACCACAAATGTTTTGAGTGACTTGTTCAGTTACCTTACTAAACCAAGCGTCATCTTCTAAGTGCCTTATTCAGTCACCTTCTAAGTGCCTTGTTCAGTCACCTTCTAGGTACCTTGTTCAGTCACCTTCTAAGTGCCTTGTTCAGTTACCTTACTAAGCCAAGCATCATCTTCTAAGTGCCTTATTCAGTCACATTCTGAGTGTCTTGTTCAGTCACCTTCTAAGTGCCTTGTTCAGTCACCTTACTAAACCAAGTCTTCAACAATCTACAATATAAAGGAAATTTAATTCTTCACCAGTTCAGAAGAAGAAGTCATCAGCAATCATTTGTTTCTTTAAAATCCTGTGATAATGTTTTCCATTTACGATGTAAAACTCAGGACATTTGATCATCATGTTCATGTGATTTATGCTGTACAGTACATAATTGACACCTATCACATGTTTGTTGCTTGTTATTGTACACACTTGATATAAACTAACATTAATCAGACATATTCATAACTAAAGTATTTTAAGAACCCTGATAAGATTATATTTCTGAATGCTTAGTCATGGTATGTTGCTTACAAAGGTTTATACAATGTACTTTTAGTTTTAAAGTAACTTGTGCCATATAATCTATTGTGTTTGTTATTTTAAGTTACTTCCTATCACAAGCAGGAAATAAAAGTGAAAAGAGTTAGAAATTCAGTTTACTTTTACATTAAATAGATTATAAAAAAAGACCAAGTACATAACTGATCAGCTTGGTAGCTGCTTGGCCAGTCGGTTACGTCTATTACACACTGTTGGCAAGTACTAGACATGTACTGTACTGGCTCCAGAATGTATTTGTACCTGCACCAGTGTTGGTCAAATCTGGTCTTGAATGAGCTCACACCAAGTGATATCACACCACTTGTTCCAACGGTTCACAACTCTCGCTTCGAAAATGTTTTTCTTGGCAGTTTTCTGAACTCATGGCTTCCTCAGCCTTGAGCTGTAACCCCTTGTGGGATGGGCATCTGCCAGCTCCAGGTATGGACACTCAACTGAGTAGTTCCCTCTGAGATGTTTATAAACTTCAATTAAGTCACCCCTGTACATTTGAGTTGATAAAATATTGTCATTGTTTTCACATAGTTTTAGATTATTATTGGTTAAATTATACCAAAGATATGAGGTGACTAATGCCAGATGTTGCTTATTGTCTTGGGTCATGTTTGAGACAGACCCACATACATCACAGGTCATAGAATTGCATTTCTAAGTTCAGTCCATTGTTATTTGCCAGAAAGTAACTGTTTTTAATAACAATCCTGATTTTAACTTGGCATCAAATATATAAGTAATTTGTCTGAGAATGGGGACATTATTCCCAAATCCACCCCTCATATTATTCATTTATAAAATCCATGGGTATGAAAGATATATTCAAATCAACAATAATTATGTTTAAATATCCCTATTTTTTCTCTTTTCTTCTATTTATAGGTTTTCTTATCAACTTCATATCAAAGCCAGTGATCTGTGGGTTCACCTCTGCAGCAGCCATCTCCATCGCTTCCTCCCAGATCAAGGGCCTATTTGGGTTGAAATATTCGAGCGAAGGCGTCTTAGAGACTTGGGAAAAGCTTTTTGAAAATATTGAAGATATGAGATGGCAAGATTTGACGCTTGGACTATGTTGTATTGTCGTCTTGCTCCTAATGAGGGTAATACAGTACTAATGGTTGAGTAAGATGTTAAGAGATGATTTAGCATACAAGAAATTATATTTATTGTATGTGTAGTTATGAATATACAGTGCAACACAAAACTGTACTGGGCTACACTGTGTAGATAGACAGTCTGGTTTACCCTGACTAGTTGTAGCTAATCTGCCTTTAGATGTCAGTATAAGAACTAATGCAGGAATATACATATAAGAATTTATAGAGGAAAAAATTTTGAGGACTTTCTTATTCTCATTTTACCACCTGTTAATGTCTATATTTCTATTAACATAACTCATCTTTGTATCATTGGCAGCTTAACTTGACAGCAAAAGTTATAAATATTGATGCTATATTTCAGAAATTAAAAGACTTGAAAGTTGTGAAAGTGAAGGCAACTGATGGTAAGGGGAAGAGAATTTTGAAAAAACTAGCCTTTCTGACATCTGTGGGTCGTAATGCCTTAGTTGTGATTTCGGCCTTATTAATCGCCTATTGTGTTGATAATGATCAGCCCTTCACCCTAACAGGTAAGATATTGGAAGTAATATACTGTACGTACATATAAAACTACATTACTGTTACAGTAAATTAGGTGTTCTGAGAGGGGTGAATATTGGGGGGGGGGCTTATGGTGATTGTTATTATGTTGTTTATATATGATATCTGTAATATGGAAAACAATTGCACAAAAATAAGTTCACCACTCTCTCTAACAACTTCATAGTCCCATTGATTATGATAACTATTTATATTTACCTTTGTGCTAATTTTACATAAAAATAAATTCCTTTTTCCTTTGTCTAGTGTCAAAAATTGGCTTTGTTTATGTTAAATTTGTTACACACTACTGTGTATTATAATGTATACATTATGACTATACATTACTGTATAACTATCTTTACTCTCATTCCACGAACTTCTTTTGCAGGAGAGATAAAGCCTGGTTTACCATCATTCCAGCTGCCACCGTTCTCCATGACCATCAACGGCACTTATTACAGCTTTAGTTACATGATGGAGAATGTTGGAGCCGGTGTTATTATAATCCCCATGATTTCTATCCTGGAGAGCATTGCCATTGCCAGTGCTTTTTCTGGTGGCAAGACTATTGATGCCACACAGGTGAGAGGCCCTTCATTCACTTTGGTTTTCTAATATTGTACAGTCAGTTGTCCTGTAATGTGGTGGGCATGTTCCTGAACAACTTCGTATTATGGAAAATTGCATTATAATAACAGTTGATTTAGTGGAAATTAAGGGGTTAGGGGGTAGTAGGTTGAAAAACACCAACATGACTGACATTTTACTTTACAAGTTGACAGGAAAACAAATGAAGAAGTACTTTACTAAGATTAACAAAAACTTCAAGAGAAATACTTGATATGTACAGAAAAAGAAAAAGTAGATACCTTGGTCATATAATTAGGATGAGGGGATAATAACAGAAATATTAATGGGCAAAGTTGACTGTAGGAGGACCAGGGGAAGGTAGAGACTTGGATGGATGAATGAAATTAAAAACTGGGTCCCCAGAGAGATACAAAACCTTGAAGGATTGGTAAAAACAGCCCAAGAATGTTAAGAGTGGGGGACTGTGGTCACCAGCCCTCAGATATGAGGACAATGTTATTCTCTGATTGATTGATGGAGGATCACTCACAACAGGTACAATACTCTGTTTATGTAAGGGTGGATGGATGGGAAAAGAATATTGGGAAGATATGAATAACCTCATTGAAGGTTCATTGTGATGGACAGAGTGATAGTGAATAGATTTAGAAAGGAGAATTGATGAAAGGGAAATGGAAAGGAAATTTAGGACTCCATGTTAGAACTTAGGAGACATCAGTCTTTCATGATTGGAGTACTGTACATTAAAATTTATGATGAAGTATTAACTAAAGCCTGCAATAACTAACTTTTATAGATGGTACAATAGGAAAGACTTTTTTTTTCCATATTAAAGCCAAGGATTATATTTTTTCATATCTTTAAAATGTAAATAATAATGTAAGTCATGATAAACACCCAAATATGGATGTGGATCATGTGGGTGCCTTTGACTCTTGCTTGCCAGGTATACAGGTTTGGTTTGGACCCATTGTGTGACCACCAGACAGTGAAAATTTACAGTCTCCTCACAACCAAATTTTACACACTGACCCTGTACTCAGAGTAAAATGACCAGAGTTTTGAGATTTCTGACATTTGGACACTTAATTAATAAATTCATTGCCTGTGTATTAGGAGAAGAACAGTATAGGTTCAGGGAAGGAAATGGATTTTTACACTTAGGAATATGAATGACTTTTTAGAGAAGGGGAAAGGATTCATTTGTGGCATTTATTTATCTAAAAGAATATATGATAGAGGAATTGAAAATGTATGTGATAAGTGGAAAAATTTTAACTCCTCCCACTAATTGTCATTACCAGGGAAGAGGGAAACTGGCTCCAAGAGAAAGTACAGTAGGTCCAGATCATGTTGTTGTTCTTTACACTTTCTTGGATGATGTAGTAAGAGTGGTGAAAGTAAGAGTAACAGAGATGAGAGTAAATTTGGTAAATAGGATTCAGGATGCAGTGGGAATGTAATTTAGAGAAAAAGTTACAAATATTATTGATCTAGTTTGGAAGTATGTGTACTGTAATAGGAGAAATCTAATAGTGAGTGAGAGGAGAAGTCAAATGAGGATGTTCAACAGAGAAAGAATATAGTAATGGGAAATGAATGTTAGCTTGAATAGTGATAGAATGGAGGAAGTACAAGGAAGTGAATGTGTCAGGGAAAGAAACAGTGAATACTAAATTGAATCACAAGAGTAGCAGAGAGAAAGAACATAGGTGGACTGAGAAATGTCTGGAGGGAGAGAACTATAAAAAAGAAGCAAAATTTGTGAATATAAAGAGGAATCATGTCTATGTGTGTGTGATGCAGAAATAAAAGAAGTATGGACATTAGGGGGGAATGGGAAGTGAGAAGTGAATAAAGAGAGAGATAGAAGGAGAGAAAGGGGAACACCATGACAAAGAGGGAAGGATGGGATGAAGACCCTGTTAGAAGTGAGAGTGATTGACATCTATGAAGCAATAATAGTTTATGAGAATGTTAAAGCCTTTAAGGTGAGGAGATGACAACAGGTAAAGAGGCAGCTGCGCTTATATTTGATTCCAGTCACCCTCTGCATCAGATTGGAAAAAACATATACAATAGTAGAGAAGTTATATGTCAATGTATCAGTCTCACCTGTACATTTTGCAATATATACTGTGTAAAGTAAATGTATTTTCTATTTTGTTAAAGCTGGTTTACTCTTCTGCAGGAAATGTTTGCCTTAGGATTATGCAACTTCCTTGGGTCATTTCTTCAGTCAATGCCAGTGACTGGGTCATTCTCCCGAACTGCTGTTAATTCCACCAGTGGAGTCAGGACCACAGCAGGAGGCGCCATAACTGGTGTGCTGGTTATGTTGGCATTAGCTTTTCTTACATCTTCCTTCAAGTTGGTATACAGTAGTTATTGTATTGACTTAATGTCTCTTCTCTGTTCAAAATAATTATTTTTACATGTGTGTATGTAATAATAATCATCATCATCATCATCATAATACAGTATTACTGTACAGTACTAATATTTACATTAACGAAACTCCTACTAATAACAATAGTAGTAATAATAATAATGATACTTGCATAAAGCATTAATACTTTGATATATGAAGTCAATACTTTCCTGAACCTTTGTTTGTACAGTATATTGAAAGCTCATATATTGAATAGCTTATAACATGAGTACTGTACTATGAGGATGTGTTCCCAGCCTTCTATTTCACACTTCACAACTTACCATTCATATCACAAACATCTCACAACTTACCATTCATATCATAAACATCTCACAACTTACCATTCATATCATAAACATCTCACAACTTACCATTCATATCATAAACATCTCACAACTTACCATTCATATCATAAACACCTCGCAACTTACCATTCATATCATAAACACCTCACAACTTACCATTCATATCACAAACATCTCACAACTTACCATTCATATCACAAACATCTCACAACTTACCATTCATATCATAAACACCTCACAACTTACCATTCATATCACAAACATCTCGCAACTTACCATTCATATCACAAACATCTCACAACTTACCATTCATATCATAAACATCTCACAACTTACCATTCATATCATAAACACCTCGCAACTTACCATTCATATCATAAACACCTCACAACTTACCATTCATATCACAAACATCTCGCAACTTACCATTCATATCACAAACATCTCACAACTTACCATTCATATCATAAACACCTCGCAACTTACCATTCATATCATAAACACCTCGCAACTTACCATTCATATCATAAACACCTCGCAACTTACCATTCATATCATAAACACCTCGCAACTTACCATTCATATCACAAACATCTCACAACTTACCATTCATATCATAAACACCTCGCAACTTACCATTCATATCATAAACATCTCACAACTTACCATTCATATCATAAACATCTCACAACTTACCATTCATATCATAAACATCTCACAACTTGCCATTCATATCATAAACACCTCGCAACTTACCATTCATATCATAAACACCTCGCAACTTACCATTCATATCATAAACACCTCGCAACTTACCATTCATATCATAAACACCTCGCAACTTACCATTCATATCATAAACATCTCACAACTTACCATTCATATAGTAATAAATAAAGACAGTTTACATTGAAAATAATATTATATTTTACACTGTGTGACTGAAGCTATGTAGAATAAACTCATCTGTAGTTATGAACATTTCTTTGTGTGATTTCATGTGTGAGGAAGTATGAAAGTGTTTCACTAAACATTAAATTTTTTCCTCCTTGAAAATTAAATCATACTGTATATGATTTTTGCTTTCAGATTTACTAAAGTTCAATTACCGGGTATGTTCTGTATATACTTAAAATAGTTAATTATAGATACATTTTATATATACTGTATATAATTTAATATAAAGACCCTCTAAATACTCTAAATAATTATCAAGTAGTACTGAACTGTGATATACATTAAAATCTATTTACCGGTAAGCTTAATCATGACCAGGAGATGTAATGCACATAAGTGCCTTCTAGTATTGTATTCACCACACTACCTACTGTATTAGTTTACTGCATTAAACAATTTTCCAGATACATTCCTAAGGCATCCCTCTCTGCTGTCATAATCTGTGCTGTGATATTCATGGTGGAGTATGAAATGGTCATTCCAATTTGGAAGGCAAGACGCATTGACCAGCTGCCTCTGTGGGGGTCTTTCCTCACCTGTCTCTTTTGGAAGCTTGAGTATGGCATCCTGGTGGGGGTGCTCATCAACCTGTCTATCCTCCTCTATGGTATTGCACGACCAAAAGTTGATGTTAATGTTACCAAGATACAGGTGATTACTTCAAAATTCCTTACTAATTTTTTAGAAGAAAGGTTTTTATTTATCAGATATTAATTGAAACTTCTCAGGTGCATACAATGAAACTGAAGTCAGTCAAATTTATAATCAAAGGATAAAAAAGAACTTACAGAGCTACAGCTACAAATATTGTACAGGACAGTGAATTCTACGTGAAAATAATACCACAACATGGAGTTTTATAACAGCAGTACACTAAAGATATCAGATCCTCAACATACCGAGCACAATCAATCTGTTTTTAAATGAATCACGTTCACTTAATTGTTTAAGGCACTCACATTATGGTAAACTCTTGCAGTAATGTCTGAAAACAGTACTAACACCAGAAATAGTTTACATATTTTTTTCATTATTTCGCAATATGTTCCTATTATTATAGCAAATATTTTAAGAGAGGCAACATTTACTAGAACTTAATAGAACCTGAACTTACCAACCATACCAAAGAAACCTACCTAACTTCCTAGCTTGGGGAGACCCGTCATATTAAACAAAATACTTATTTTAATATCTGGCACCAATAAAAGCAACATTGTTGAAGCATTATGGTGTCATTTTATGTTTTTTATGGACGTGAGAGTAAACTCGGACCGAGCGAGTCGGCTGTAAACAAACACATCAGACGACAGCACACACTGATTGAGGTAGATTTTTCATAGGAGTATTTACGGTAAATAATTAATTTCTTTGCGTACAAAGCATGTAGAGACATCATTCTAAAATTATGCTATTTCCTTCATCCTTCATGCCCTTCCCACTACAGGTGATTTATGTTTGTAGTGCTGTTTTCAGACATTACAATTTTGCATGTACAGTTTGTGCCAATTAAAAATTTATTAGTGTTTTCAATTCTGCATTCCATTTGAACTAAATAGTATTACAGGCGGTCCCTGGGTTATGAACGGGATTTGTTCCTGAGGACATTCTTAAGTCGAAAATGTACGTAAGTCGAAACACTTGCTATGTGCATACCGTACTGTACTTACAGAACAGTGTCTAAAATTCCGCTATATCATAGCCTAAGTCCTTATATACATCTAAAATCACTTAATTTAAGAGAAAAGAAGAAATAGGATTACAAAATTCAGTAAATGAAAGTAAAAATTAAGTCATCAGGTAATTAAAATGCTGTTAATTTAAAGTTTAACCTCGTTTGCATTGGCGGGCGTTCATAAGTCAGGGACCCCCTGTAATATGAACTGTGGTTGTGAATACTCTAAATAATAAAATTGCACAGACAACTTAGCAGTCTACAGCAAATGTGCGACTCTCACACTTATGTTTTGTAAATCTTCTAATAACATCTGTATTACTTTTTACTCTCTTTTCAGTAATTTGATATGGCTTCATAAATTTCTGACTTGCGCCAGGATATATATTCTCGTAAATATATCATGTAAGACTCTTGCATGAATTCATAAAAGCAGGTGTCACTTGTTCACATTTCTTCATCTGCACAGTCACCGTGCCACCTCTGTGTCAGTAGTGTACACTAAGTTTATTGCCCAGCGTTTGCCTTGTTTTGGAAGGTGTTGACTCCTTTTTGCCCAACACATCATGCTGTAATCTCAATAGGCCCAAGCAAGAAATGGTAAGAGGAAGGATTTGTCACTGAATATCCAGAAAATGGTTAAAATGTTGACCACCTTGCCAAGACAGCTAGTACCAATAAATGGTTGTCCAGCTGTATGGCATTGCTGAGGCCTCCTTAATTCATTTTAAATGGAATAAAGCTGCAGTACACTTGACTTAGTATAGATGAGGCCATTTTATATGGGAGGTGAATGTTTTCTTGCCTGGAGAAGTATTTATTTTTGTGTTAATCACAATATTTTGGATGAAGGTGGGGAAATACATCTGTTCCAACTACACAACCTAACTCCTTGCTATCCTATAAGAAATTAACTTCACTTATTTATGGCTTGTACAATATAGACATTTTTATTTTGAACCTTGAAAATGTGTCAAGGACCATTGTGTGTTTTGAAATATTGACAGCATTTGTCTAGTTTTTGTCCATATTCTAGCAAGCTTAGGGGGAGATAGAATATATTTGCCAATTTATAGAAGGAAGACATTAACATACTCTTCAGATTTCTCATTACATTTCCAATATAGTAAATGTTCTGAATTTCCCAAACAAATTACTGTACAGTGCACGATATCGAGCTGTCAGTATTAGTGTAACCAGAGTCTCCTTTATTATCCTATTTACTTAATGGCCACCCAAACTAGAGGTGGTCATGCCAAGGGAAGGGGTCTTGTGGCCTGTGTAAGATCCCTCCATTTGTTCTTAAAAGTCTAGGACTATCTTGAAGCCCAGTATTGTTCTCGGCTCTCACTTCCACAGCTTGAAGTGGTAGATTGTTCCGTGGGTCTACCACCCTCTTTATGAAGAAATATTTCCTTATATTTATCCTACTGTTTATAACACCTTGCAAGCTTGAAATTGCATCCTCTCATGTTAATGGCCTGTGACATCATGAAAAATTGGCCTGGATTTACATTTTCCATCCCTTTTGGGATTTTGAATATCTCTATGAGAACTACCCTATTGCATCTTGTCTGAAGAGTTGTCAGTCCTAAGGCCATCACAGTCTTTCTGGAGGGAAAGTTTTCCTGCCTGTATACATTAATCTAGACTGGGATGTACAAAATGCTCATAAAGTTGAAGGAGCATTTTTTTATCTTTGTATTTGAAGGTACAACTTACAGTTCCTAATTCTTAGTTGGCTTTTTTCACTGCTGTTCCTACTTGTTGCACTATGTCTAGTGATGGTCTTATTCCCTCTCTTTGATTTCTGGGGTATACATTCTTCGACTGCTGTCTCAAAGATTTTCATAAATTCTTGCCATGATTTATCTGTGTTGGATTCCTCTATAATAGTATCCCCCAGTTAATTATT